AATGCTTAACCTGGGTTTCCCCATTCTGCCTTTGATTTTATTCACGCTGCTAGGCAGTCTGGATATCTTCACTCTTAGAATAAATGGTTCCATCCCCCGCTTCATACATGGAACTCCAAAATGGTTCTATATAGAACCATTTTTTTGGTTAAAGGTTTTATTGGCCAAGTATGGAACCCCAGGGTTCTATATAGAACCCAGAGGAACCCTTTTTTTAAGAGTGTATAGAAACTTTTAGGGGTTCCAAATACGTAGCACTGATAGAACCTTTTAAGGTTCTATATAACACCTTTCTTCTAAGAGTGGACCAAAGTTTTGCCTGAGCGAGGGGACCAATCACAGAACGAGAAGGGAGCAGCGAAGGATGAGGATGAGACTAGGGTTGGGTATCGTTGGAATTTGAACGATTCTGATTCCGATTCCGATTCCTTGTTTCGATTCCGGTTCCTAACGATTCACGATTCCGATTCTTTTAAGAGGCAGGGTCAAAAAAGTTTAGCTAACCTTGCTAACCAACGGTCTTTCGGAAGGAAATAATCCTTTCTGAAGGAAATACTCCTTCTGTCACAAATACTCCTTTTGTCACAAATTTTGCATTTTGCCAAGATTTCGTTATTTTTAGAAAAGTGAAGCCACACTTTGGACCGCCGACGTAAGCTACTCATGTTCGACTCGCGCGGTTATGCAAACACTTCCGGTAGACGCTTCTTCGTTGGTGTTGTTCAGCGGTTTCCTCTTCCGCTCGGCGGACTGTGAATATCGAAACTAGGAATCGAAATTTTAACTTTTGAACGATTCTGGGAAAAACTAAAAGTTAGTCCCGGTTCCAATCGATACCCAACCCTAGATGAGACACACACCGAAGCAGTTTGTTTATACCCATGGATCAAAAATGGCAGAAGACGCGAAGTTACCTTTCGATGCAGCCTTAGATATTGTTCCAAGTTCTATTTACGCAAATAAATCTCTGACCCATCGTCGTCTTCCTCATCTAATTTCTTTTGCACTACATACGTCATCTGGTATAATTGAAATAATTGGCTATGAGCTACGTACAGGCGCATTTAATAGACATTCGTAGCACCCAATAAACGGCTCTGGGTATTCGTAAACCACGCCTCACGAGAAAATGTACATGTGGTTCCCAGAGTCTCAAGTCTCAATGTCAATGAGACGTGGTCTGACATTAGCCAGGCTAAAAAATGCTTTCAATTAATGCAAACTTCAACATTACTTTCCTATTTAAGACAAAATAGTGCATTTTTACTGGAGACATTGCATTGTTGGTGAAAAGAAGACATTTAGGCAAAACAACATCAAAACATCTCAATCACTAATAATTGTGGACAAATTGGATTTATATATGTGCAGAAAAGTTGTGTTTCTCACAGAAACATTACACTTTCTCTGACAGCTCCATATTTTTAGTCACATTTGTTTTTTTCAAAGGAAAACTACTAGAAAAAGTATATTCAGTAGAAAAAAACGCATCACTATATATGTGTGAAAGCAGTAAAAGCAGCTATGAGAGGTGTGAGAGAGAAAATAAGCAATCTAGGCAGGTTCACTGCTGCTTTAATTATAGTTTTAGTGGTTTGACTTTTCATAATGGCACTGGTAGTGAGGTGGATTGTGTGTGTGTGGGAAGAAGGGTGAGAAAGTCATTGTTAAGCAGGTGACACTACGCCTCGCAGGCTTTTTCCCGTAGCGAACTTCCTTGTGTTTTGTGACTAACACAACGTGTCCACGGGCATGGAGGATATCCACCCAAAACCCTCACGATTAGGCTGCTTTGGGGGTGTGCCTGTAAAATGTACAGCTAGTATGTAGTCTATTACTGATTTCAGTACAGTCAATAAAGTCATCATAAAAACGAATGTTCAAAATTCAGGGGGCGGTAAGTTCACTAAGATTGCACGGTAACACTTTATAATAAGCTCCCAGTTATTAATATTAGTTAATGTATTAACAAATGCTGAAATTAACATGAACTAAAGTAGTTCACTAATGAAACCATTAGTTAATAATGCATTTATTTAAACAAATATACAGTAAAAACAGTAATATTGTGAAATATTTCAACAATTAAAAGAAAAGTTCTGTGATGGCAAAGCTAAATTTTCAGCAGTCTTCAGTCACATGATCCTTCAGAAAGCATATTAATAATGGAAACAGTGGAAACATTTTAAAGGTAGTTAAGTAGAACTTAAATTAATTGAAATAGAATTTTTCCAAACAATGTACATGACTTTACAGACAATTTTGATTAATTGCATAATAAAAGTATTTTAAAAGAAACGTACTGACTCCAAATTCTGGACGGTAGTGTAGTGTACATGTAAATTTGAATTACATATAAAATAATAATAAATAATATTAATATTTTTATCATAATTATTTTTTTATGATGACAATTTAGCATGAAAATAAAACATAAAATATAAAGATACTTTTAAAATTAAATCTGGAATTTTTCACCTGTCTTTTCTCAAAACAAAAACTGAAAACGTTGGCTGAGCTCCTCTTACTCCACACCAGTGAGAATGAGGAACCTGAGCAGCGGTGTTTGAGCACAGACAACACTGATCAAAGCAGCAACTGTTCTTCCAAAGCTCTCCCCAAGCCTTTCAGATTCAAAAAATGTAGACAGAACTAGCAAAGTTCAAGCACAGGAACCAAGCATCAGTTCACTCCTCCAGGCACGCTTCCTGAATTTTAAATGATGTTCTAGATTCCAGGAAGTAGTACTGTAGCTGTGATGTTCCTCGAACTGCCTCAAGTCATGACCCCTCAACATTACTTAAATGTGAGATAGTTAAGGTGACTTTAAAGAAAAGTGGTCTATGGTGTTCAGTTTCAGAGTTGCTGTGAAAGAGACAACGTCTGCCATTGACGCAGTCCTATTGTGTGTCTCTGTCACTCTGTGACCTTTTGGGCCTTGAATAGAATAATAAAGTCTCAAAAACAAAATAAATCAATATCTCCCCCAAGTAAACAGACCCAAGATAAAGCAGTGCACAAGGCGAGTCCTTTCTTGCTTTGGGAATTAAGGGTCAGATTTACTAACAGCTTGCTCCAGCGAAAACCCCCTTTTGGCTTTGAAAAAAACTACTGCCAGGATTTACTAAAGACGTGCAGTGAAAAACTAACGCTCAAAAGACGTGGACACAGTTGCGTCTGACCTTATTGCATATGCATTTGTGAGAGTTTCCCTTTCAGACGTAAAATTAATGGGAGGAGAGTGTTTAACTGATTTACTAAGGTTTGCGCTGGTCAATTTAGTGATATTTGCGCCATTATTTATTTAATGCCCGAAAAAGCATGTAATAAACCAGACACTAATTTGCGCAGACACTAGATTGCATTGGCTGGTCATTAAGGACATAATCCGAATCCAATTCTTTGATTTGCGCATCATAAGTAGATCACGTGCAGAACTTTCCACTCCCATCTGAGCTATTTCCCAATTGCGCTCTCATGCTAATTTACCATGATTAGTAAATCTGGCTCTATAATACTTGATTCACCTCCCAATACTGAATTAAAGTGTCAAAGACACTAAATGAATGCGGTAAACCTGCTGTACCACAACAGCCATAACAATGCCACTTCATACAGTATTCTAAGAAACATGGGCCATTTTCAATGCCAATAGATTGAGATAGACACACAGACAGACAGACCTGTGACATGCAAGGCCCACTGACAATAAACGACATGTAAAAGCCAAGCTAATTTTCAAGCTGTCATGTTAGGCAGAGAGGAGTAAAAGACAAAAGTGTTTTGGGCAGGTCAGGGCAGCACATACAGTAGGCTAAACATATAATGGAAGATGCAAACAATCAGAGCATAAGCAGTGACAATAAACCTGGCTTTTTTTCTGTGAGAATCAAACTTTTCTTTAACTGGTTTTACAACACAAAAAAGTTGTGGAAAACATCTAGTTAGAAGTCAAAATATTTCACCATTGAAGGATGACGATGAGGGAACACTGCATATGCACCTCCAGTAAGAAATAAATGATGTGGTGTTGCATTCGTATGCATGAAGTCAAGACATGACTCTACTATTATTAGTACCAATACTAAAATTTTCACTACTGATCACCAAACAAATAGAAAGAATTTCATCAGCCTCATTTACCACCAGCATCCCACACAGGCTCGGGCTAAACTGCTTGATTAGTGTAATTGCATAGGAACCTCACTACTATGTTTAAAAAATAAATAAAAATAAAACAAAATAGAATTCAGTTGTTGATCTGGATGCAATACAGTGGTAAACGTCTACTGATTACGTATATTACGCAGTCCAGTGGTATTGATGAATGAAAGGATCTTGCAAATGTTACTCATAAGTCAGAAAGGTATTAGACAACCTTCAAACAGGGGGTTTGCTACAAATGGGCAGTGTCTCACCAAAAGGTCAAATATATATATACTGTATGTTTTTAGATTGTGACCGCATTTCCTCTAAATAAATAAATAAACAAATAAACCTGAGACTCTATTAACTCCCAACTATTTGAACAAGTGACCAATTTTGTATTGTGAGGGTGATAGTGTTTTGTTTTTCTTGTTAATTTCATTTGACATTTATTACTTCTTATATTGACTTTAGTTTACCCCAGAATGTCATCCTTGTGACATCACTACCTTAGACACACATTTGCCACAGCATCATAACCAAACGGGACTCAAAGCAAACGGAAGGTCTATGAGATAACACGAGAAAGCATATGGTGGAGAGAGATGGGAAGAGAGAAGACTGTAAAAGACGACTCAATCCTGGGAATCGATGATGAGTGACTGCAGGACAACACATCCAGAGCACTAACTCTGCACAGCCAAACACAGCTGAAGCTGAATGAGATACAGATGGACAGATTTTTTGAAAACAATGGATATGAAGCACCATCAGCGTGAAGGGAGTTTGGGGGCTGCTTTGTTCATTGACATACTGTAGACTGACGCATGACTGGCCAAGCTGGAATGGTTTACCTGCATGACCATCTGTTGCCAGGCCAGCGGTTGGTTGCTCCCGCCTGTGGTGCCGCCCACCAGTCGATCAGAGGGCAGACTTCCGCGTTCCAGCTGCAAGGAAACATTGCGGCGTTCCTCTTCAAGGGCCCTGGTCAGACGCTCGAAGCGTGCCTCCTGCTCTTTGACTGATGCCAGGATACTGGCGGCTGACGGCACGTCATATTCTTCCATAGCAGCGCCCAAAATTATATGCTGATTACAGGGCAGGGTAAGTAGGGGAGAGAGACGGACCCGGGACAAAAGAAACAACCAAAGAAAGGGATAATTCAGCAAAAAAAGTACATTCTGTTATCATTTACAAATGTTCTTTTCTTTCTTTCTTTCTTTCTTTCTTTCTTTCTTTCTTTCACAACTGTCATTCAGGGAATTTAACATCTTCAGGGGCAGTTCTAGGGTCAGGAGATATATTTAGGGTTAAGTGGATGCATGTGGAGCCATTTTCTTTTAATTATTAAATATATTAAAGAGCTATATATATATATATATATATATATATATATATATATATATATATTTTTTTTTTTTTTTTTTTTTTTTTAATAGATCTAGGGAGAAAAAAGGTCCCACTGACTATCTCAGCCTCCAACAAGTCAAAGATTTACTTTTAAAATGCAGTGCTAATAATGAAAGCAACTTGCACTGACTTATCTTAAAATATGTCAGTGTTTTGTTTTGTCTCAAGATGCACAACAGTTATGTTTTTTCCCCCCTAAGGCACATTTATAAAAACGACTTAAATGTCCTAACTGAACTAAAGCCTATAATCCTATCTTATTCTAAGCCCTGTCTGTGAAACCAGGCTTCAGATTTTTACTAAAAATAGGCTTAGGTCCGGAAGCCAACCCCTGCCCTGTATGGACCACCTTTATGGTGCTTCTTGTCTTTTTTGACAGCACCTGGTCCTCATTCACTTTCATTGTTTGGAAGTGAAACCCTTTTCTTGATCTCTTTTTGTGTTCCACATAAGAAAATCATACTTTGATCATTTAGGCCGTGTGTCCACCAAAGCGTTTTTCCACGGCGCTGAGCATTTTTTCACGCTGAAGCGCCGAGCGCCCAGCGTTTTTTACTGGTTGCTGGGAGTTGAAAAATGTTCAACTTTGGATAAAACGCAGCGCTCATCACTGTCACTTTTTACCCAGCCGTCCAATCACAGTGGAGGAGGGGCGGGACTAATACCACACCGACCAACTGTCAACATTCAAACTGCTGCGGATATTCTGTATCATAGCAACGAAACGTCTCAACGGAAAAAACGCTGCGCTGCCAAAACGCTCTCAAGCGCCCAATGCACGGCGTCTTCAGCAGAGCATCTAGCGTTTTCAGCTGGCTAAAAACGCTTTGGTGGACACACGGCCTTAAACTTAAATAATCATTATTTGGAATGACAGGATGGTGAGTAAATAAATACAAATGATACATTTTTGGCTTCACTATCCCTGTAATACTGACTTTGTAACTCCACATGCTGCAGATGTGTCAAGTTGCACTGTACTTAGAGCAGATGGTCCTTTATGGGAAGGGTGATACTTATGCATTTCTGTATATCAACCATATGACACAAAACATACAAATAGTTCCATACTAAATTCACCACACACAATACAAATAGGCATGCCAGACTCTAAATCACTACAATAACATCATTCATGCTATGCACAATAGTTTAAACTTCTCTCCCATAGTCAAAAGTGACAAAATGAAGATAATGGAAGCATCACAGAAAAAACAAAACAAAGAAAAAAACAAGAGTTGAGACATGGTTCACACACAGTTCACCTGCATACACACCTAGCAGTTAGTTGAGAGAGAGGCAGTTAGAGGAGAGACATCCCCCTATAAGGACAGACGGGAGGAGATGTGCCCAGCGGCGAGTAAAGAGAGAGCGAGAGCTGGCTGCAGAGGGAACGAAAGAAAGAAGAAATCACAGGTTAGATAACACTCTGACATTATAAACATAATAGACAGAATTCTGCTTCGGTTGCTGGGGATTTAAAGAGGATGAAGATAAAGAAATAAATGAGAAGATGCTAGAGAATGATAAATGACTATTGAAACCTCACTCGCTGACTTTGAGCAAAGGAGATTGGATTGGGCTGTCAGGGGACAGGTGTACGGAGACAAAGGGGCCCGGGTGGAGTAAAGACGGGGAAAGAGGGCTGGTGCATATTAATATTTACTAAAAGCATTATTCAGTTGTTGTTTTTCGTTCTCTATTATACCACAAACACAAATGGAGACGCACAGTAACACAAACATGCTATTTCTCTATAGAACAGTGGGAGTGAAGGTCCTATTCCCTTTGAAGCGCAGCACAGTACACACACAGGCTTTGATGTTTGTTTCTGGCTGATCATTTATTTATCTTAAGAGCTATTCTCACACTGCTCTAACGGCAAGGCATTGTACCAGTCTTGTTCTGGGTATAAAGAGCGACCACTCGAGGTCTAGCAAAGGGAGCGGAGCTGATCTGCCTCTGCTGTTGCTCCTGCCTCTGGAAAATAAACCCCAGATTATATTTATCTGCTAGATAAGATGCGTTTACAAAAATGTGAAAGCTTGTCATGAAAAATTCCAGTCAATAAAAATGTGGGATGTCATATCTGAGATCTAAACAGTAAGATCTCATCAACTGATACATTTTAGCCTTTTTTAGGAAATGAGCTCTTCTGCCAGCCTGGTCTATTGAATTTCATCTACCTACCTATTCGTCTATCTATCCATCCATCCATCTATCCATGGTCAACTGAATTTCATCTAGTACCTACCTATCTGTCCATCCTTCCAGCCATGGTCAACTGAATTTCATCTACAGTAGTATCTATCAATCCATCCATCCATCCATCCATCCATCCATCCATCTATCTATCTATCTATCCCTTACATCATTACACCAGAAGGTGGAGACAAATAACTTAAAAATGTATTTGTCACTGAATCATTCATTCAAGAGATTTGTTCAAAGACTCTTATTCATCCAGTAGTGAAACAAGTGAGTAATTCATTCAAGTTAATAAATATCTTTAAATTATATAGCAGCAATTAACATTTTGTCAAAACCTCTTGTAAACATGCTATTTTGATTAGTTGTCTATTCAGAATTGAAATCTCTATTTTAACCCTCTGGGGTCGGCAACAACACCACCAGCGTGATCTGCTCGCTTTTTTTTCTTATCAGTGCGAAACAAACTCAAAATACTCTGTTCATTTTGATCTTACATATATGTGTTACACATTTTTTCATGTGAATTACTTAAACAGAGAATATTTGTTTTTGATATGATTAACATCATTTAATAATGGAGAATTTTCTGTCACGTTTCAGAATGAACTTCACATTGAGAGAGATGGGAGAACGCGCATCAAGTTTAATTTATTTATTTGACAAGCTATTTGAGTCTATTTTGCACTGATAAGAAAAAAAGCGAGACAATCGCACCGACGCGATTGCCGACCCCAGGGGGTTAAATATTGTGTTTGTAGATATCTGCTCACATGTAGATATGTATAATGTGGTAAGAATAATGTTCTATAGTTAGGACCGGCTCGATCGCTTCAGAAAATTTCCTCTGCACGTGCTGAGAGTTTGAGTCACTCGCGCAGTGGGTTTGAAAAGATAAATGCACCAAACCTGCTCCCTGTTCAATCTCATTTCATAACGTCGTAACGTATGGAAACGTTTGAAGTAACATGATAATACATACAGTATATTTTTCTCTACTGTAGTGTTACTGAAATGTTCCTTTTTAACGATTTATAGACCATTTCACAAGATGTAAACAACACTGGTCCAGAAGCACTTCCTGTTTCAGTTTTTTAACACTACATAAAAGCTGGGATAAAATACAACCAACAGAACATTTAAAACTGAATCAAAAGTTAAACAAACATCTTTAAGATGTTTTCTTTACATGTGAAATAAAGAAAACAGTTACAAACTGAAACAGGAAGTGTTTCTGGACCAGTATTGTTTACATCTTGTGAAATGGTCTATAGGCTGCCTGCTATCTATTGTTAATATTTTATATAGCCCTACACATATATGCCTACGAGGCACAACAAACTTGGTGTTCATATATATATATATATATATATATATATATATACAATATATATATGTGTGGTCAATTTATCCACAATTGTGCAGCTTTAAACAATAGCATTAGTTGCCTTAGCAAACACTACTATAACAGTACTAACTAATTAAACAATTTGAGAGCTTTACTAACAATTTATATGTTAATCACTTTATTGCTATATAATAATACTATTCAAAATTAAACAGAGAAAGTAAATGAGATGTTGCCCAAACCCTCAATTAAGACCAGCTATCAAAATCTGAGCTATGATGATGAGACGTTTATGAAGATGAACCCCTGCTTTAGGATTACAGAAGCTGCCTCTCCCATACTCCCTATTTCAGGGAGTACAGAGGCAGATGGGAAATAGGTCTCTGCCTCTCTAAAATAACTGCAGGAGAATGACAAGCATGTCAGACATGCCCACTGCCCTCCTCACGACCACCAGCCATTGAACTACACTTAAAATGTTTAAAAGTAGTGAAGCATTCCACGTCTGGTTTGGAGCTGGTTTTTGCTAATAGTCTGGAGAAATAAAGAACAGTTCATTGACAGCTAACTGTTCCTGCAGGAAAAGCCCATCTGTATGCTGCATTAACCTTACAGAGAGCGTTGCTGCACTGATGGCAATACGGTTACCTGAACTAATGATTGTACTACAGATTAACAAAAACGAATGTACCGATTTGCCAACAGTAAAAGGATAGTACACATAAATATGAAAATTCTGTCATTTACTATACTAGAAACCTGTATGACTTTCTATCTTCTGCGGGACACAAAAGATAAAGAACCCTGGGGTCCAAACTACATTTGAAACCAATTAACATTCATTGCAAAGAAGAATCTTATTTTTTTTTCTCCACAGTAGTAAGGAAGTCATAAAGCTTTGAAAAAACATAAGGGTGAATCGCAATTAGGGCTGCATGATTGATCACAATTTACATATAAATCGCACTTAACCCTCTGGGGTCCAAGGTGTATTTGGGGACCTTGAGATGTTCTGACATGCCCTGACATTTGTGATTTTTTCAGTTGTTTATAAACATATTAATGGCACAGGTGAAATTACACTATATTTAGCACAAACAGGGCTACCATATTATGTGAACAACATGTATGGACATGTTTGTATTTGTGAGAGAATATTGTTTATGCGTGGTTATTGAAAAAACTAAAAATGAAAGTTTCTGAAATAAGGCCACAAAACACAATATGTGTTGAAATGAAATATGTGTCCACATTACTTTTAACAAATGGATGTTGTGGCCTAGAGTTTTTTCTTCACAATGATCTGAAAATCATCCTGTCTAATCGTTCACATAAAACTGTGAATTGGATTATACTGTGAAAAACATTTTTTGTTTGCCAAGGCAATATGCGAATGGGCGTGAACAGGCCAGCCCTCATCATGTATAATTAGGTGATTCACACCTGAGAGAGACAAAAACACGCATAATAATGAGCCTTTCAATCAGGTGAATCAGACAAGAAAAAATTGAAAGGACACATATAAAATCAAAATAAAAATGAGAGTCAAAAACCCATTTTTAGTCATACCTGGAAACAAATCGAAATCCAAATCAAATTTGAAAAAAAGATGAGAATTATTTGTGATATGATGTGGCTTCTTACACAGAATAAGGCAATGGTGTATTTATAAGTCATGTTTAATGAATTAAAGCATTTTAATTTTCTGTTTATACCGCTACAGCGATAGGAATTTCATGGAATGGTGCGAATAATTCTACTTCTGCGGGCGGGGCTTATTTATCGTGTCTGTGTGAGAACGCCCTCTGGCGTTCAAATGGAGCAGCCTTTACTACCGGTCAGCCGCACTGCACTGAAAAGCTGCGCATAAAATATCGCAGCCTTTGCTAAATCGAGTGCAGTTTTATTCTGATTAATCGTGCAGCCCTAATCGTAATAATGACAGAATTGTTTCATTTTTAGGTGAGCTATCACTTTTTGAACTATCACCAATATGTCCTTACAGGGAGACGGTGCCTGTAACACTTGTTTTGGTTGAAATTGTCTTATAATTGAGAAATTTGTAATTGGTAATAACATAGTAAACATGAACTGTGCTTGTGCTGGCACAGTGTTTTTCCTCAGGGATAAATTACATTGCAGCAAAAACCCCAGTGCTAAAAATAGCTTTGTAATAAATTTACAAACACAGTCGGAGCTTTCTGCGTGGTTCCAGAGAAGAGATGAAGCAGCAGCAGAGCATTTAAAAACCTTGGCTGAAAAATCCTCAACAACAAATCCATCTGGGGTTGGGGAACACCTATGGTACATTGCCAACACAGGAAACACAAACTACACTTCTGTTAAGGTGAGAAAACATTAGGACAATTGTGTTTACAGTGCTCAGAGCTGCTACACCTCAACCCAAACAACCTGAAACAATACAAAGCTTATGAAACACAGAGAAAGGTGGATATATAACAAGGCCCAGAAAGTAATTTGATTTTTATCATCAAAAACAAACACAACACAATGTTGGAGTTGGCCTAATGATTTCTGAATAAACATTATAAGCCTAAATGCTTAGAAGTTGCATTTATCATGTTATCATTCATATCAGTAGTGGAAAAAAGGTATGAGATATGGTTCCATAGCAAGCAACACTAACATATGATTGCTGCAGACAAATAAGGAGGGGCAACTAGACAAAACTGGTGAGAACGCGGCAACAGAACCGCCCCGCCCCCCCAATTAGAGAATGGTCTCATTTCATTAACCCCAGCCAATCCCCTCTTCAAAAAGATAAACCCTCTCATTTCTCCTCTGGGGGCAGAGGTCCAAAATAAATAAATCACCAGTCCAACTCCACCTGAGGCCCATCTGTGTGTGCAGGGTCCATAGAGTAATGAAAATACTCATTTGATTCTGTTCAGCGATCAGTTTTGCACGTTCAAAGTGTGCTGGGTGGAGAATTGGGTAGAGGGTGGCTGATCCTGGACCAAGAGCTCCTGCTAAGTGTAAAGAAGACCAAAGACAAGGCCCTCAAGAGCACCTGGTCCCATTTTACCACTCATCTGCTCCTCTCCAACTGAGTTAAGATACCAAATTAGGGATGTATTAAGCTCAATCACTCAGATTTAAAGAAAGGGACGTTAACAACCTCAAAGGTTGAGCCGTGCTGCGTTAGAAGTCACGGCACTTGTGATGAATTGATGGGCTGGTGCTTTTCGGTAATCTAATATATTTTGTTCCAAGCACAACGTGTCAAAAGGGGAGCCCTAAGAGGGAATGTAAAATCTTTAGAATCTAAGGACTAACTGTAAATTAATTTTTAAGTTCTCTAGGATGAGAGAGATTTAATTCAAAAATACAAAAACAGCAGAACATTTTTTAGAACTTAACTAGGGTAGCTCACTCAAAAATGAAAATTGTTTACTCACCATGTCATGCCAAAACCATATAGCCAACTCTTATACTCTCAAATGTACACATATCATTCATGATCTTTTTATGAACTTTTTGTAATGCCAAAGTTTTGGGTGAATAGGCTTTCAATGGAGGGAAAGAAATATCTCATTCAAATAACCTTAATAAAGTATATTTTAAAAGTGTATTGAAAACTGCTTCATCATTTTGAAGTGAAAATCTATACTGTCATAGTCAATATTGCCTTGAATTTAGGATTCAAAACAGCTAGCACTATGAAACGCTGAAGAGTTATGCGTTTTCTAAGAGGAGGAGAGAGCGTAAAAATAAAGCCATTGTTTACCCCACATTTTCAAGTCTTTTCTTTTTTTAACTGTGAGAACCCTCTCGGAATGAACCAGCATCGAGAGAGTTAGAAGAACATCCTCAACTACGCTCAGGTTCCAAGTCCTTAAATAACACAGTGCGTTATAGAAGAGGTAAAACAAATCAAAGGCATGCTGTGACGCCTCTCAAAGAGCATGCATGCTCATTGTACTTATTTAAAAAGAGTATACACATTTCACAAGGAATTATTCATCTTCACCACCTGATTATATTCAGAGAATAGGGAGGCAAGTAAAATGAGACAAAAAAAGATACATCTTGCTATGTTCACTAGTCAAAACAGTCTGTCACATTTATGACAAAAATTAGAATTAAAATTACATTCACAATTATTCATTTAATTTAAATTAATAGTATTTACATTTTGTGAAGGATAACTTCATGGCATATCCTTTAGACTACAAACCTAAAACAGGAAGTACATCTTAAACTTTAATCCTATGTTTCACAGATTAGGTTTAAGCCTAGTCCAATACTAAAATGCATTTTTAAATTGTTTTAACTGAAAGCTGCCAGCAATGACAAATCTTAAAATATGTAAGTGCAGGTAGATTTCAATTAAAAGAGCATAAAGATGCATTTTAGTCTGGGACTGGGCTTAAACCTTGTCTGTGAAATTTAGGAATAAGGTCGTTTTGTCTCAAAATGTACATCAGTAATGCTTTTTTTTTCCTTAAGGCTACTGAAATGCCATAATTGAACTAAAGCCTAATCCTGGCTTAATCTTAGCCCTGCCTGTGAAACTGGGCCTATGATGATTAAAATGGTATACTGCAAAAAATCATTTTCTGAACGAGTATTTTTGACTTATTTTACAGTTAAAGTACAGATTGCTGCGGTCTGAGTCCGAGTCGGAGCGCTATTGCCCAGTGTCAAACTGTCATCCACTACATTTAATTTGTTGAACTAACGACATTGTCATCAGCTAAAACGCATGAGCAGGTTACTTTACTAAGCACTAAAAAATGCTAACCCGATTTCCAGTTGCTCCTGGGTCCAGATGACAGCTTTTTCATTCCCAGTTTTTGATGTGAACCGTTTCCTGTTTTGAACTTAACTGTCAGTGTGAAAGCAGCCTTAGAATCAGTGAAGCAAACTTTACTTGAGAAGCAGAACTGCAAAAAATAGTAAGCAGTTGCAACTCAAGTAAAATACAAATATTTATTTGAAGGGTTCTTAGACATTTTTACAAGAAAAGCGTTTTTTTTTATTTAAAAACTCAAATGTAGTTTTGTCACTAATTTCCGTCGCAGTGTATTTTCAGTATTGTACTACTGTACATTGAAAGCAAACCTCACAACATCTAGGAAATCCAAATTATCAGCGGAGATTTCACAGTCATTTCTGTGTGGCAACACAAACAGAAATCACGAAAACAATCATATGTGGATGATATGTGTATGACAATATGCACCTGATATGAACTATAGAGTTACTATACACACTACTGTTCAGTTTGGGGTCAGTATTTTGCTTTTTACAGAAAAAAAAAATGTATACATGTTTTCATCAAGGATGCATTAAATCAATTCAGATCTACAGTAAAGACACTGCAATGCTGCAAAAGATTTCGGTTTCAAATGAATATTCTTTTGAGCTTTATATTCATAAAAGGATGTTGTGCGTACAGGTACTTTTTACTCACGAGAAGCACGTTCAAACCTGTAAATTAGTCTTAAGACCTATGAATTAGTTTTAGTGCATTATTCACAATATGATCTTAGTGAGCATAAGAGAGATCATCTTTAAAAACATAAAAAAAATTACTGAACCCAAACTTTTCAATGTTAGCACACAGTATATATATATGTATATATATCAGCACATGACAGACATCACTGGCTATTACTTGTATAAATTGACTGCTATCTATCACTTTTGCATGTTATTTGCATAAAATTTAGTTTTTCAAACTTTCGGGCACTTCGCTGTCAATCCCACAATCCCCTGTGTGATCCTGCCACTCATAGAGATTGAATTGATAATGCCCACTCATATCCGCTCATTCAACCCCAGCGTACATGTACGGTGAAAGAAACCAATAAATTGTTTCCAACTCGTATGTGTAGGAAACACTTTATTGGTTTCTTTCACCGTACGTGTACATTACACACATACGTGCGTCATTCTAAAGACCAACATCCTCCCTTACATACCTTAAGATATGGCATCATCAAACATATTTGTATGCATTTTTATATACTAATACATTTAACTGCATTATGGCTACTTTGCAGTCAAAGCTGCAAAAGAAAAGCATTCATCCCCATTAATAGTATGGATGATGAAGGAACAGACAAAGTGGTGCGACTGGCGAAATGATGTGTAGTGATGAAGGGGAGAAAGTGAAAAGCAGACAGACGTTTGGGAGGATACCTTTGATGTCGGCCAGGCAGTCGGTGTGCGTGTGGACGTGGTGGTTAAGGCTGTTAGAGAGGGCTGACAGGAACTACAGCTCTCCTCCCAAGAACCTCTGCCTGATACAGCAGCTGCAAGAGAGACGACAACACACACGCATCAAACACATGTGATGGGGCCAATCCACGCTGCATTATTAGCAGGTTTATTTACATATTACAACTGTGAGTCTGTGCAACCACACACTCCCCCCCTCAGGGTTCAAGCTGAGAATGTGAAGAGCTGGGATGCATGGCTTTGGATTGTTTACTTCAGTGTTATAAATAGTTTCTCTTCTCCTCATTACAGAGCCAAGCCACATTGTATTTACTCATAAGCGTTCCACAAATTAAGATCTGCATAATGCTGAACCTCTCTATTCATAAAGGAACTTAGTAAGAAATGTGGCCTGGTGGTAAGCGAAGCTAAGACACATGCAGCGCCGCTTTTGTGGCCCGAGATCGAATCTGACTTGTCATGTCCCAAACCCATTTGTCCTGTTTCCCTATCAATCTATAAATTGGTTAAAAAGGTCTATTGAGTTTGTTTTTTCTTCAGTATGAAAAATTGCTATGAATCTTTAGCTAAGCAGCATGTTCAGTTTACGCAGGCAAAAGCACAGGCATCAACAACTGGATTTTTGAATCAAAATCATCTAAATGTCAACATCAGCAACCCTGGACATTTCCATTTAAAAAGGTGAAAATTTGGGGAAATATTTTCATTTCGTTGTCATATTTTCTACATTTCTCTATGATCTTTGAGCATCACTGCAAAGACTCAGGGGTAATTTTTGAAACTCTTTTCACAAAACAATTCATCAACACTCTTACTCTTATTCGGCTAAGGATTACAATATCTTTACCACAAGGGACTCTTCTCTGCTTCGACTTCAAGGACAGACATGCTCAAAGCACCTTGGATTTGTGGGACTGACATCAAAGGTGAGCAAAGTCAGAATACATTTGTTATCAGGCTCCTCTTTCTCTCTGTCTGAACTGAGCTTACTGTGTTCTATGCAATAGAGTGTTGTGTTAAATCCACGTCAGCATGCAGCTAAAATGTCTGCAGTTAGTTCATGTCAAAGAACATAAACAGAGAAGATGTAAATGACAAAGCTCACAAAGCCTTAACTATCATGATCTAAAATAGATTTATTTTACAGTACATTTGAATCTTAAAGTATATATTAATCCTATATAAACATTAAGAAAAAGCACCATGATGCAGTACTATTTTGGCTTTTTGGAAATTAAAGCCGTTATATTTTTTCAAAGGTTCCTGCCATACCATGTAGAGTAAATACCATGTTACACTACATGAATATAGTTTTCATTCAGGACAATGTTATACAAGACGGTACCATTTAATACCATTCATTCACTCGTGAAACTAGCAGCCAAACCATAAGTAATGAGCTAATACAGTCTATTAACTACGGTGAAATACTGTTCTCTCTTATTAGAACAACCAAGTAGATGATGTCACATTTTTCTGATCTGAATGAATTAAGGAAAAGAAATACATTGCCAAAGTAAAGAAGAAATCAGAGAATATTTAATTAATGCAATAGTTTCACCAAAAATGAAAATTTTGTCATTATTCGCCCTCATGTTGTTCCAAACCCAGTATGCTGTTATTTTTTAAGTGGAACAGAAAAGTAGTCATTTTTTAAACAACTTTAAACAGTTCATTGTAACCATATCTGTCAGGTATCCAAAAGCCACACTGCTATTGAATCCACAGTGCTAAAAATCATTGTTACCAAAAAAACTGAATCAGTTGGAGCAAATTAATGAATTGAGTTACTGAACCAATGACTCACTTCCTGAATTGCAACTTCATGTTCGACTGAAAATGATCAAGAAATGATCAATAATCATGAAATGTTACTGTGTATTTAAAGGTGGTGAGAGACATACTCACTCATTGTTCATATGATAACGGAGTTAAAAATACACAATAATGTTATTAAAAATAATACTAATAAAGAAATGTATTACAACATTCTTATTTGTTTAATATCTTAATATATAGTTAGACATAATTGTTAATGGAACCTGAATAAGAACCAGAAGAGTTAAATTCGGATTCTCATCCCTAGTGCCGATTCTTCAAAAATGTATACTTGCGATAGACTTAGAAAATAACAGTAAATAAGTTTGGAATGACATGAGAGTAAGTGAATATTGGCATTAACCCTTTTTTAAATTCCTTGTGTTGGGCAAGTAAATATCTAGAACCACCATCCCCATATTGAGGTCACATCAAAAACTCACGGCTAGTAAAAAAAAAAAAAAAAAAAAAATGTAACCACATAAGAGACCCAATATTTCGTAAAATTCTTGCTATGGAAGATCTAATTGATTGCAGTGTCTTCAAAGAGATTGGCAGAGGAATGGATTTTTCTCTTTGAGGCATAACCTGTGTAAGTAGCAGACAATGTATCTTCCCTCTCCAAGGAGCGAGGGGAGGGAAGAGCGCTTAGACAGTAATACAGGCAGCATGCCCACAGGAGCATCTTAATTAGAGGAGGGAAAGAAAGAGAGAGAGACTATACTGTGGGAAGTCTGAATCACTGCTGCAAAGGAACAACTCTTCAAGTCTGAGGTGGCAAGGTCAGACCGACCAGAAACATCCATAGAAAGCGTAGAATGTGGCTTAACGAGCTCAGCTGAAGAAGTTGGAATGGATTTAAAATGTGTACTCATGCCTTGTTAACCCTCTGGGGTCTAAAGTGTTTTTGGGGTCCTTGAGATGTTTTGACATGCACTGACATTTGTGCTTTTTTCACTGTTGCTTATACACATTTTAATGGCAAAGGTGAAATTACACACTATTTAGCACAAACAGGGCTACTATAATATATGAGAAACATGTATGTACATGTTTCTATTTTTCAGAGAATATTGTTTATGCATGTTTTTTGAAAAAAGTAAAAATGAAAGTTTCTGAAAAAAGGCCAGAAAACACTAAATATGTGTCCATGAGACTTTGACTAATGGATGTTGTGGCCTAGAGTTTTTTCTTCAAAATGAAATGAAAATCATCTTGCCTAATCATTTATATAAAACTGTGAATTGTTTTAAATTGTTTGGAAAGGCAATATGCGAATGGGTGTGAATGGCCCAACCCCCTCATGTACTGTATAATTAGGTGGTTCTCACCTGATCAAAATCAGCAGAGTAATTTGAGCCTCTTTTGCACTTATAAGAAAAAAAGTGAGCCGGTATCACCGGCGAGATAGCCGACCCCAGAGGGTTAAATGTAAACTAGACTGTCTCTGTTAGAAAAGTCAAGTTGTTAGAGCTGTGGCATAGGGGTTAGTTGTTGAGCATAGGTGATGTAGGTTTGAATACATCCTGTTGTATGTGTTGATCTCTTGCTATTGTTTCTATAAAAGAAAATTATTAAAAAGCAAAGATTTGTAAGGGTCAAAAAAATCAAAATATCCATTATTAATTCGTTTTTACACACAGCTTCAAGTCATCAAGTCTAATTGTCATCCAATGTCAAATTCAATTGCTTTCTAATGATGATAACAAACTCTCACTAGCAGTTGGTAACCTTCGCACACCCTTCAAAATCTTTTATGTTGCTTAGACTTTTTGCAGATCGGCACTTGGTGAGACACTTCAAATACCCAATTGTCAACTTTCAGCAGCCAAGAATATCTTGCATTCTATCATTCTAAATGTGAAGGAAACTTATTAGGCTACATGTCATTGAACACATCAGTTCTTAGCCAATGATTCTGTCAAGGTCTTGTCAAAATTTACTCATTATTAGAGGTAATACTTCAAGTCTGCAAAACTACAAAAAGGCATACTTATAAAAAGTACATTTTAAATATAAAGAATGTTATGGTCAACATACTTATGGCTTATTAACAAAAGCTAGTTTTGTATCTCTAACAATAGCTACTTTTAGCTAGTCAAATCATAGCCTAGGTTGAGAGTTTATGCCAATTAAAGGGATAGTTCACCCAAAAATGAAAATTCTGTCATCACTTACTCACCCTCACATCGTTTCAAACCAGTAAGACATTCGGAAATCTTCAGAACACAAATGAAGATATTTTCATGAAAAATGTCCCTCCATTGATTTTACATGTGAATAAAAGCCTAAATTCAATCTGCTCATCATATAAAGCGATTGAGTATCTTCAAAAATCTGGACAACACTGCTCGATTCAGATGGATTAATTTTATGATCTCTTTATGAACTTTTTCAAGTGGCAAAGTGATAGTTGTGTGGACTGTCAATGTACAGTCACAAATCTTTTTAAATTTTATTTGAAAATAATGTTTTTTGAAAACAACAAAAAGTCAAAAGAATGTGTTTGGAAGGACATGACGGTGAGTAATTAAAAAAAATGGGTAATATGTGTATGGGTAAGGCAACCCTTTAAAACTTTGCAAGACTACGGTAACAATTGTAAAGTCTATATTCAGTATGTCATTTGTTGTCTGGTTCATTAGCTTGTGTTGCTTCAACGCTGAAGCATTTCTGCAAAGCATTAGCCTGGATGCCAGCCCGAACTCCGCCCACAACATTTTTGGTCGGGAAGTTCGGTCTGGACTCGATCCATTGAGGAGTAATTATGATCAGACAAGAAAAGTTCGGGCCAATCAAATTGCCAGGTCAAAAAATCAGATCTGCAAGGACGTAATCACCACGTTATCAAAGAGTGCTTAACTGTGGTTTCCTTCAAAGATGACTGGAGCTGGAGAATTGAGATGTATAGATTCCGCTGTCGCATCTGTTGTAAAATAAATCGACAGCGCATTAATTTTAATAGACAAACAGAGAACTGCAATCAAGGCATTTATCGATCGGAAAGATATTTTTGGCGTCCTTCCGACATGATTGGGCAAAGTGTAACTTATCAGCTGGCTCTGACGGTCGCTAAGAAGATGGGACATAATGAAAAGCCTGTGGTCGTTGTGGTTTCTCCTTTGGTCGCACTCATGGAGAAGTAAGTAAAAGAACCAATACTCGTTACTTAACTTCTAAAATAAGTAAGTTCTGTAGTTGAAAACTGTGCTATGCAAAGGAGTTGACTTACTGCGTTGCTCTGATTGGTTGTAGG